TAGCTACAAGGAAGTCAAGAGCTAGTTTCAGAGTCACCGGTCAGTTTAGGTGTCCTCTGAAGCCACCAAGTATTTTGATCATGACTGCAGCCCAGACAAAGAGCACGACACTCGATGAGCGGGGCTCTGGAGTAACAGAGGAACAGGTTTTTTTTTCATGGGCAGGGAGGTGCAGAGCACAACCTTCAGAGACCGGAGCTCAGGTTTCAACACTCGACTTCATACAGTGGATATTCAACAGACTGGTTTTGCCTGCCAGTTTGACTCAGTCATTTCTTGATCCTACAAGCGGCACTATTTTTGCCCTGAGGCTTAAAAGTCCCTACATATTTTTTTTCTACTTGTTGTCACATGTGCAGAACAAGAAAGACAGTAAATCCTACATGGACTCTTTCCGTCTGTTTACAAAAGCTAAAGCTTTCAGCCTAATCAGCTGTCAACACCAGCGCCGTTTATGGCCACGTCCATGTTTTATCTGCTCACCAGACATAAAACTAGACAATAAAAAACAGTTTCTTCCATTTTACATCTAAAACTCAGACAGTGGATTTTATTTGGACGAGGCTGACTACAGCGAGCGAGTCAGCTACACATAATGTACCCTTGAAAGACTTGGAGATCAATTTCCTTTGGTGAAGGTAACACTAGTCGCAGCTCAGGGTCGCCCTGCTTGGCATTGTTGGGACGGGGTTGCCATGGCAGCAGCAATGTTTGTCTATCATAAGGTGTCACAAAGAGTATGGTTGGGTTATGGAACTGGGTTATAGTACAAAAGCAATAAAGCATATCTAATCAAGGTGAGATATAAAACCTTTACTGGCACTGCCAATCCAAAGCAATTATTGCAGTATTAATGTCATATATCTCATATTTTGATTAGAACAGGAAATAATGTGACCTCACTGACTGCTTCTTTAAAGTGTTGATCCCTAAAGTATCATTAATCTTCATTCTGAGTCAAACTAGCCTGCAAAGCTGTATTCACATGTAACCAGACCCTTCATGTGGAGTATGCTGCTTTTTTTTTTTTTAGCATGATCATTTGCATCATGAAAAAGTGTATAAGGGAAGTCACCATCATATTTAGATTTTTAATGACACTTTTTGTGCTGATCTGTGCCCGTGCTGTCAGAAAACTGTGACTCACAGCCTTGATGTTTTAGCGCCGCAGTAACTATTTCAGAGCAGATTTTTGAGTTTAAGTTTAAAATACACATGTTGTTCAGTAGATGTTTTATTTCCTGTAGGCTGTAGTTGTACATGAATCACTTGGAGGTACTCCACTTTTGATGTAATGTTTAAAAATAAATAGAAAATATTTTTTTTTCACATATTTCCTGTCGCTGTGAAATGTCACTTCTTTTCCTCAGGCAGTCTTTGACTTTATAACTTGTGAGAACTTGCCTAATTCCTCCTGGTCTTTTAAAGCAGCTATAACTAATATTTTGATATTAACAATGGATGGAATAACTGTGCGTAATGTGAAAGGGATTACACCAAGTATTATCAGATGACTAAGCTTTCCCCCCTTAGCTTCATAGCCCTTTTTTCAGTTTATTGTTTTGTTATTCTCTATCAGTTCAGCATGAGAGTGTTTTTCCCCCCGCTGTAGCAGGTAGCTTTTTCTTCATCAAATCTTTAAAAACCTAAACTATTATGTATGTCCAGCAACAAATAGACCATCATCTATATGAAGAGTCAGATGCTTTTCCCTCGGGAGTTGAAAGAGACCAAAGACTGAAAGAAAGAGGAGTAAATATTGTTACTATGTCTGTCAAGAGGGAAGAAAAATGGCTCCAAATGGATGCTGATGTCCTAACAAGTCTGCTGAATGTGTAAACAAGTGGCTGTTTGCTCAATTAATGCAGTTCAGTAAGCTGTACTTGTTACTCTTTTATGACATTGGTTAAGCATGTATAAGGGCCATGTCATGTGTGTGAGGTCATTTCAGGTCATCATTTTGAGGCCAAGGAGAAATACTGAACAAACGTCTGAAGTGTAATGAAAAGCTAGGATTCCACTTCAGTTACATGACGTGTGGTGTTTTCCCACATGCACAAAACTCCTTAACTTTCAGTAATTATCTGGGTGAGCTGCGTGCGTGAACACGAACGGCAGGATTTTTCACTCAGAATTTTTAGAAGACGCGTGAACGCAACAGGAAATATTCAAGAAAATTCACTGTGAGCGACCTGCGTGGCTGTCTGTTTTAAACAATGATTTTAATTCTGTTCTGATGTTGCAAAGAAACTAAATACAGATGTTAACTCTTACTCAACACAGAGAGAGGATCCAGTCACTGGTTCAAACATCAGACTACATCACTCAAGGACACTTTTAATAACGTGGTTTGTTTTGCAGATAAAGACTGCATTTTGCTCTTCAATAAGGGTTTCACCACTGACATGTTACCATGGATACAGACAGAGCAATATGTCCTAACATTGCTTTATGAGTTTCTATTGCTGTCGTACATTCTCATAAAGAAAGGGCTCATTTCTAAAGGACTGGGACAGATATTAGTCATTGTGTTGTGAAAAGCCACATCTGGTATAATTTGGGCTTTTAAAGAAGGACATAAGTTACAGTGACATTCACAAGAAAGAATTCATGTCCTACTTTGGGAGGAACATTAAACAGAGGAGATTCATAAAGCTGGTCCTCTCTTAAGAAGTGAAATGTATTCACACAAAACAAATAGAGATGTGAGAGATCAAGTGCAAACCTATCCCATCTCTTTCATCCTTTGTTACTGGAACAGCTGACCCTCTTGAGAGAAGTAGGAAGGACCTGCTAATCCCTCCTTTTTCCATGGATGCACCTTAATGGCCTTTTTTTTTGTTTGTTTGTGGAAACTCAAAGTCATTTTAGTCTTTGCTCGGATAATGTGACATATAACTGTATTGTTTTCGCTGCCGAAGGCTTGTTTTGATGAAGTGATGCTCTCTACCCCTCGGTTTGAGTGCTTCTCCACATTGTTTTAAAGAGGAATGAAAAAATGGGGCCATATTCTGGGCAGATGTCCAGCTACATACTTCAAAGGCACCTGTGAAGAGTATAGGGCTGGCAGTATACTTAAAAATGAATCCATTTTGGCTTGTTCACATGGGCAAAATACCAAATGTATTCCTAAAAGCAGGGCTAGGTGTCTCGTTGAATGAGATATGGGTGGCGGCTATGCCTGTGTTGTCTGAAATTGGGTACTATTCAGATTTATTAATATGCCTTGTCTTGCATCATGACATCATCTTTCCTACCTGTGGTTGTCAACTTGAAGAGTATGGAAGTCCAGAGCTGAAATGAAAAACTACAATGCAGAGTGTTTATCTGCGTCATGAAGTCCAGAGCTGTCTGTAGCCTTACAAAGAGGCTTTTTCCCCTCTCCTGCTACAGCTGACTCACCACTGGAAACATTGAACTTCCTGTGTAAGTCAGAACAGCTCTTTGATCGACAATGTGGACATGTGCTTCAAGGTTCTCTTTCTTCTTAGACAACCAGTTGACTCTGTTGTTTTTGGCAGGCTTTTAAATTCCTTTCTTTGGTACAGTAACACTATTTTTGAACAGTGATGTATAGAATATAAATGATAAGCAGCAGCAGTTTTCATATAAAATATATTGTCCCCAAACATGTCTGTGAAGTTTCTTGTTCTAAATCCACTCTGATCCTGTTTTTTATCATGACTGTAGATCCCTCTATTTCAGCCCTGCTCAGAACAGGCTGTTTCTGTGTCTGTAGCTTTAAATGTAAATGACCTGTATCTGACCACGCCCCTCTCTGGAAGGGCTTGGGTGGCTTGCTCCATGCCCAATTGTTCACGTTGTGCAGGTAGACTTAGAGGCACAACAAACTTCTAGCTGTGGGAGTGTCACCCATCTGGGGGAGGGGTTACTGCCCTTTTTGTGATGTCATAAAGGGAGAATCTCCAAACTGCCTGATTGAGAACACATTTTCTAAAAAGTGGAGAAGGCAAAAGACAAAAAGAATGAATTTCTGGGAGGTTTGAAGATGAGCTAGGGACACATGTTAGTGTTAGAAAACCATGGTTAAGTGTATTTTGCATAGTGTGACATGTGACATTTAATTTGTTACTATCTGATAAAAGCTGGGCTCTTTTTGATGATAGATAAGAGCTCAATATCCAAATACCAGTGCATTTTCAAACAGTAAACTTTAAAAATACAAACTAGTATAAATGCACATGTGCTGGCCTTTGCAAAGTTTTATTAGCTATACTGTTGTTACAGAATGTACAAGTTATCAGTGTGTCTGCGCTGCATTAAAACATCCTTAAGTTGCGTTATGTTAATGACTACTAAGTTTGGTGCCATGACAAACAAGAAAACAGAACCTCAACTTTTTTTATTATAACTTCCTATGAAAGCCTACCAAAAACGTATATATAGAGAGTATACATATATTGCAGATCCACTGTTCTATGTCAATTCTTTGCTTCTCAGGTCCAGTTTTTATGATCATATATCAAGTGTTTAAAAGACTTTGGTGTCTGTTTGATTTACGCTCTCAGTGGCATTTTTTAACATTCCTCCAGGCCCTTGCTGCTCTCCCTTGGCTCTCTGTAGCTGCCAGTGCTTTAACTCTCTTCACATAACATAGTAGTGCGGCGATATACAATGACAAGACTGTTTGTGCATGTCAACAAATGCAGTCCCTTATGTTTCCCCAGTCTGTGGTGTTCCTCTCTTAAAGGATCCTTTTACTGCCTTGGCCAAAGTATTACTTAGCATTCTGTGTACGCTTGCATGTGTAATGCATCTCACTGTCCTGAGGTAATATGTAAGCGCTTTGCTTTCACTAACACACAGTGTTCTTTCTGGCTAAAGCCTGAAGACAGTGTGTGTTGAAAGTGTTTAGAATAGACTGTTCTTAAAACCATGGTGGTCTTCTACAACTATGGTAGGTCAATACAAGGGTGTGTCGTCAGCGAAACATGAAATCTCTTCAATCTATAAAACGCCTTTATTCTTCTTAATTCCAGGTTCGCCCAGCCATGATTGAGGACAAGGGTCACCGAGTGACCGACTACTTTGTGGTAGCTGGGTTGACGGACAAGTCCACGCCCCTGGAGCAGGACCTGTCAGAGACCAAGTCCGGTGGACCCAAAGCACCCATCACCGACCTGGCTGTCATTAACAGGTCGGCAGGAGAAACAGTACCGGAGGGTTTTACATGCATCGACAGCACCTACAGCGGCCAGCCTGCAAACCTTAATCATGGCAGTCTCAAGAGCCCCGAGCTGTTTCTGTGCTACAAGAGGAGTCGAGGGAAGTCTCCTCTCATTGATATCGGGTGAGTCAGCAGTTTGTAATCTGAAATGTGTGTAGGCGTGCAGCGTCAAGGGACTCATTACATGTGTCCACTGTTTGAATAACATGAAACCAAAGTCTTTGTAATGGGGATTAAAAAACTTAACATTGGAGACAGCTTGATGTTCATCTTTAGTTTATAGATTGAGAATTTTATAGTCGGTCATTTAGCTAAAATGGTATTGTGCAATAATTCAGTCAATGAACCCATAAATATTGTTTCTGCTGTTCTCTCCATCATGCTGTAGATTCAGAAGCTCAGCTTGTTTTTATGATAGAAGAAACTTTGAGTACAAAAAAAGAGTTTAACCACAACCACAGCGTTCAAAGAAACAGAAGATCCCCAAAGTGTCCCGCGGCAGGGTTATTGTAGCTAGCACGTCAACAGAAAGTCCCATGCAATCCTTTTCGATTGTTGATTATGAAATGACAAAACTTGAACTAAGAGATGAAAGGAAGTAGGTACGTTCCTGCTTCATTCACTGGCATCTGTTGCGTCATCAGCCGCACCTCTTGGCTTCTCTCCACGGATCAATTGCTTCCTTCTGTTATCGTACAAGAGCTGATTCATTTAATGATATCCTGTTAGCATTAAGCTGCCGCTGCTTGTGAAGCTGTGAGGCAAACTGTTATCTATGCTATGTGTGGCAGTTAACTCCCTGATAAATAAAACAGAGGCATGGACGCACTAATGCTTTACAAAGGACAATGATGCAACTGCCCGAGGCATTTCCATCCTCCACACCTTAGTCTTCTTCTAAAACCTCATTGTGCCCCCCTCTGACAAACTGGAGTTTCCAGTTACAAGAGACAACAATCTGCTCTCTCTTAGTCCAGTCTTTGTAAGATCTAATTAAAACTTGTGTGCTTGAAAACATTGCAACACATTGGCCGCATTCCACTTGTTTAGTGATGAATTTGGTTCATTTCATGTGTTATTAATTTGATTTCCTTCTGCTAAATGTAGCTCTAAACTGCAGAAGCCTGCGTGTTTAAACCCCTCATGAAACCCTGCAGACATCAGTGCACTAAGCATAAACAGAAGATCATATGTCAAGTCATGTTTCCTGTGAGAGATTGAGCAATCCTGCTTAGCATGTTAGCAGACATGTGGGTAGGAGGAGAGAGCAGTAAGCTTACATCCAAGTATTCTCAGTCTTGGTTTAACTTTGTTATTGGATAAAGCACTGAATATGTAAAGCAGTTTGATAAAACTGGTTCCACAAGTTGTTGCTGCAAAGGGAAATAGTATTCCTTCCCGATGGTTCTTTTTCGTTTTAGCTACAGCAAACAATGTCAGAAGTTATTTTTGGCCATGTTGCAACCCCAGTGTCTCTCCTTCACAATCTGTTCCACTTGCTGGACTTCATTCATTGTGAGATTAAATAAAAAACTACCACCTCTGCTGCCAGTGAAGGCAGCATTCCCAGCCTGGGGCTCCACAGCGTCACAACTCACTGTGCCCATTAGGGACTCACTCACTGTTTTTTTTTGTTGCCTAAATGAGAATTTGCTGGCAACTGTCCTCCTGGCCTCTTTAGGTTTGTCCTGCACTCTTTTCAGAATAAATGGAGTGTTTCAGGACCATTGTATCTGCCATGGCTGCCCTGTAGCTTCACAAGATTAAAAAAAATGTGTTTCTTGGTTTAAAGAGGGCTGCAATCACATCTTTGGCCCCACGCACGGCATTGTTCAGATGGAAAGGGCCGTCATGGAGCATGCTGCCATAGAAGTCCTGCAGTCATGCAAAAAAACAATCCAACACAGAGAGAAACTGATAGCTTTCCTCATGGCTACTTTTGGCTTGTGTTGGATATGTGCGAGTTTCCTTTACTGTCTGGGATTTAAATGAGTCAGCTGGTAATTATGTCTGAATCACATCTCCCATTGATGACAGGCTTCTCATAGAGGCTTCAAAGGCAAGCTAGAGCTTAAAGAAGAAAGTCAGTGTTGTTGACCACACTGATCGTCCCTGTAAAACAGAGATTATACTCCCAACAGAGCCACAGCTCAGCCTCTCCCGCTTATTGTCTTTCAAGAAAGCACTTCTCGAAAAATAGGTTATTCACAGTATGTGTACGTGGCACAGCATTTCTATGCTCATTTCAAGTAACATTAAAGCATATTTTAAAAAGGAGCAGCTAAAGCTAATTCTGAGAAAGGCAAAGCTTAACTTTTTTGTTTTCTTTGTTTTCTGACACATTTTGCAAATCTTAAAGCTGCACTAGTCAGAAACACAACTTTTTTGAAAACAGTTCACTTGACCTGGATCTTTCCTCCTCAGCTTCATATGGCATCTTAAGTATCCTTACACTGTTTTGGTTTCACAGCGTACAACTTCACTTTTTTTTTATTGGTTCCCACTGCCCTCATCAGCTGTGTTTTCAGCAGAAACTCTTATTTAAAAGAAAAAAACATGTCCAGCACACAAAAGAAAAATCAACTATTTATCAAAGTGGAGCATTTAGTAGGTAAAGATCCAGATATTTAATTTATTTTATGTTCTAGTTAAGAGCTTCCATATGAAAGACATGAACTACGTCATCCTGAGAGAAAAGTGCTTTTAACAAATTCTCTGTTCTGTTTGTGTCCTGTTGTCTGAGACCAGAGGCCACCTCCTCAAGCACGCTACCCAAGTACAGGACGAGTACCGTACATTTGTGTTCACAGTTCACACTGATCGAATGAAACAGACTTTGGAGTCAAGTGTACTCGGATCTGGGCCCGGGTCCCTAATATCAAACCACCGTAACAGAGAGTATTAAACTAGATCTAGACATTGTTAGGAAATAACATGTTCCTTTAACTACTGCTGTGTTAAATTGTTGTAATGCTGAGTTTAATCTAAATTTGCTTCAGACTGTTAAACTCATTAAACATCCATCGCGATTTCAGAAAGTCAACCAGCAGCAAACATTCACTCCTAGTTCTGTTGTTTTTGTTTTTTTTCTAATGCACCACATAGAAACTCTAGCCTCTTCTTTCTTTCTTCCTTTCTTTTTGTTCTTATTCTCAAACTCCTCATTTGTTGTTGGTATTTGAACATGAATGTTCTGTCTTGTTTTTACTGTGTACACTGTTGCATCATCACAATGTGTGTCATTTGACTTTTGGCAGCCAAGATGTTTAAAATATGAAAGACATGTCTGAGTGCAAAACTGATTCCAGGACTGCATTCTCTGACACACTTAAACGTCTATATAAGCTTTCAATATGAATTTGCGCGAGTCATTGCACTGCACTTGCTGCCTTGTTAATGTACAGACTGTTAAATGACACTCGACTACAGACAGCTGGACAGTCTCAGGTTCTTTCTGCCTTTTCTTCTGTATAATACAATCTTTGTTCTGACGGAGAGCACAAATGCTAAGCTAACACTTTCTTTTGTTTGTCAGGGTGCTGTATGAGGGGAAGGAGCGTCTCATCCAGGGCTGCGAGGTCATCCAAGCCACGCCGTACGGCCGCTGCGCCAACGTCAATAACAGCTCCGCCACCTCGCAGCGCATCTTCATCACGTTACGCAGGCGCCGCCTGTCCAGCCTCAGAACTCGCTGGCTGTGACCGACATCTGTGTCATCGTCACCAGCAAGGGAGAGATTCCTCCACATACCTTTTGTAAAGTGGAAAAGAACCTCAACTGTGGCATGGTGACTTAGATTTGTATTCCTTAGCTTACACTTTGTCATCATCAGTCTGTGGAGTACATGTTTTAATATCTTTTTTTTTTTTCCCATCTTTAGTGGGGCTCCAGTGTGTTCCTGTGTTACAAGAAATCTGTGTCTGCGTCCAATTCTATCAGTTACAAAGCAGGTAACAGTGCCACAGTTTTCTGCACTTATCTTGATATGAACATTGACAACACCATTATTCTAATGAATTATTTTACATTTATGAAAAAGTTAAAAAAAAAAAAAGGCAACAAAATAACCAAGAGTTCATTCAGGCCATTCCCTGTGAAGTGACGGGATGTATTTTGTTTACTGCGCTTTAAAAAAACGACCATGAAAGTGGAAAAATACAAAAAAAGATAGAAATGGTTAAAAAAAACACTCGTGCAAAATCAAACTATGAAACGTGAAGTAGTTATTAAAGTAGAGCAAATATCATTTTTGCCTTTTATTAGATAAGACAGCAGAAGAGAGACAGGAATGTTGGGGAGAGAGAGAGAGAGAGAGAGAGAGAGGGGAATGACGGGCAGCAATGGGCTGAGGTCAGATACGAACCCACAGCTGCTGTGATGAGGACTCTTGCCTCTGTACATGGGGCGCGTGACATAACCGCTAGGCTATCTGGCGCCCCAATTAATGACATCTTTATCATCATCTTGATATGAGCATTTACAATTAACACACTGCAAAAGTCTGAATTTCAACCAATACAAAAAAAAAAAAAAATTGTAAACAAGCAATGCTTTGTCGCTCGGCGTGAGTACATTTTTTCTTAATGGGTGAAGGCCCGGGTAAACTGGCCATGTTTCACACCGCTCTGATGCAGTCAGACGAAGCTCAAGCTAGCTAGCTACCCTAAGATTAACTGGTGCTGATTTAGTGTTTAAATAATCACACACCCTAGATGTTGTCAACACCCTGTATGCTTATTCTACAGTGGCTTCAACTCCTTCATTATAATAATGAGAAGTTAGTCTACAAGACAGTAAAGCACATTTCATTCCAAATGTTTACCTACTTATCATTTTGAATTCAGTGCTCTACTTCTTCTTGCCAACAATTTAATGTTTTTTTTTGTACTTATAGGCTTCTATACATGAAAACAATTGCTGTTAAAAAAGGCGTGGCAATAACAAGCCCTTTACATGTTATGTCACCTTTAAGAATGTTGTGATGTATTGATATCAGACATGCTGTGAAGAAAGGCTTTCACAATCAGCCTCGCTTAACGTTCTTTATCTGAATGCTCAGGCGAGCGGCCCCCCTCACTGTTTATCTCTGATCCTTTAGTACTTCTTTCTTATTGCAGCTGGCAGCATTTCAGAACCTGCGTGTGACATTTTGACTCACCGACTGCTTCCTTTAAAGCCTGGCCGTTAGACCTAGTCATTGTGCAACATGAATAGCTCCAACATGATCCATGTTCATATAAAATGGTGTACACACACACACACACACACACACACACACACACACACACCCTTTCAGACACTCGTGCTAGCTTTATCTTTTTGTTCAGCCTTTTTCCTGAGAGGCTGCTGCTCATTCATCTCAGGCAGCTGCACTTCCTGCCACGCCCATTTCTTGTGTCTGCAGTCTCGTGAATGTGTGTTAGCATGTGTGTATCTTGTCTGAAAGGCATCTATCAAACAACAGGTTACAGCGAAGGACAAAACAGTCATTTCCTGAGAATAGTACTACTTGTCATCAAAAAACTGAAAACCTCCACCTCCGTTTTCCAGAGCCTCTTTCATCATTGCAGAGATATAAAGTCGTAAAATGTGTATTTATTTTGTTGGATATTGCTACATTACCATTTGTATGCTTAATTTATGCTCTCTCCTTTGTTCTCCAGGTCTCATTTTCCGTTACCCAGAAGAGAACTATGAGTCCTTTCCTCTTCCAGAACCTGTGCCTCTGTTTTGTTTGCCCATGGGCGCCAAGATCGAGTGCTGGGCACCAAACACACGAGACCCTCTACCTGTCTTCTCCACGTTTGTCTTAACCCTATCTTCTGGGGAAAAGGTGAGACGAAGCAACCAATGGCACGCTTATATTTATATCAAAAGACAAAAAAGGGCTTCAGCTAAACCAACCTGTGAAGCCAAAACGTTACAAAAACACCAAAGGGGTCTGTCCATCTGTGATTGCAGGTGTACGGATCAGCCATCCAGTTCTACGAGCCGTACCCAGTGGATCTGTTGAGCGAGAAGCAGAAGATCCAGCTGGGCCTGCTCACCACGGTAGAGAAGAAGATGATCCCTAACCGGCCCGTGAACACCAACAAATGCATCTGCCTGCTCTCCCACTGGCCCTTCTTTGAGTCCTTCCGCAAGTTCCTCATGTTCCTGTACAAGCTCTCCGTCTCAGGCCCGCACCCGCTGCCCATTGAAAAGTGAGAATGATCTTATTTGACATTTAACAATAATCCAGATTTGATGAATAAAGCCGCTGACACATTCTGTGTCTTTCTCTTTACAGGCACATCTCACACTTCATGCACAATGTATCGTTTCCTTCCCCTCAGAGGCCAAGAATATTAGTCCAGGTGACATGTTTAATATCTCTTAGGTCACACTCGACAATCAAAAATACACAGATGTTTAGTCAGTCCCTTGTACGTATGTTACAACATTTTTTTTTCCCCTTCCAGCTCTCGGCACATGACACGCTGATCCTCTCCCAGCCTGTGTGTACACCCTTACCCCTCAGGTAAGAAAAAAGCTTTCAGTAGGTTACTATCAGTGCTGCATCATATATCATAATATCAGATCCAATAGGAAACATCCTTACAGAGTAAAGAAAATGAAGCAATCCTTAAGTTTATATTCTGTGCTCTGTCTCATTAGTCTTCTTAGTAAAACTCACACTTTTACTATCTTTATTTTTGCTTTTTCCCGCTGCTTCATTGAAACATTCTGACATGTTTGCAATTCTAGCAGCGACTTTGTCCCCCTCTTTGTTCCTGCTGAAAAAATAGCTTTGTGTTCCCTTTATTACTCACAAAAATGGTGATGTCAGGCCTTCATTAAAGCTGAAACTATAAATTTGCTGGTTGGTTATTTGGCTATTACTTTGTGCTTGACAAAGCTTGGGGCCAAAATGTGAAAAACCCCAAGTTATAAAAGAGGAATTTATTTTGACTCGCAATAACAAGGTCCTCTAAATGGTCATCCAAGGTTCTGGGGGAAGTGTCGAACAAAATGACAGCGTACTTCAACGAAGGAAAAATGTATAAGTAAGAAGAGGGGATCAAACAGACTTTTGACAACAACAACTTTATGGGATTTTCTGGATGATGTTAAAAACTTAAACGTACATCTTTGATAGAATTCAGATTCAATCGGTGCCATAAGAGGTTTTTCATTATTAGCTGAAAGGGGATGTGAGTGTTTGGATTGCAAAAACTCATAAATCTTGTAAGGTGATGTTTTCTCATTTCAAGAGATCTCTGGGTTTTCTATTAAAAACATGAATTACTGAATACCGTTTTTTTCCCCTTTTGGGCTACGTCTGATTGTTAAGGAAAGTTTGAATCACCCTGTTTCTTTGTTACATAACACTTTCTTTCTCATTAGTATTGTTTTTTTTCCACCCTCATGCCCAATGTCTCCTCTCCTTTCCCTCTGTTCTTTGCCCAACCTCATCATCATCTCTTTCTCTCTCTCTCTCTCTCTCCCTGTCAGCGGGGCGGACTACGGCACGCTGCTGATGAATCTGGGCTCTGAGAACTGTGCCACACTGCTGCACTTTGTCCTGCTGGAGAACAAGATCCTGCTGCACTCGCTCCGGCCCGCTGTGCTCACTGGAGTGGCCGAGGCCGTGGTGGCTGTGAGTATGCTCTGCTCTGCACGCCACAGTCGGTCATGTCCAGTAAAAACACAATGTGGTCATTATAATCGATAGTAGTTGTCATGCTACGTCATTTCTAAGAAATATACAGATGCCTTTACCCTACGACCACAGCTGCACTTTATTGACCCCATTAGAAATGAATGTAGAGATGTGATGCCTTAAAAACAAAATGAATAACCTGCCTGCCTGTGATGTCTATGAAGTTATGTAATCAATAGACATGAAATTCAACCTGTTGATTAAAGCTCCCTTGCTTTAGTATAGACTCAATAATGAAGATTGAAATTTACTTGCAAAATTTGGGTTGCAATTTTTCATGAAGTAGTTGGTGGTGGGTCTTGAGCTTCGACCGGTTGAGAACCTCAGATTTAGAGAAGACAATTCTTTATTGTCAGAGATTTGTTTTACACTTGCCAGTATAAATATTCTATTTATTTATTTATTTTATTTCACACAAGGTGACACATTTAAAGTTGGTGGAACCTTAAACAACATTAACAGGATACAAACAGACACAATAGAGACAGATTAAAGGAGGGCACTAGGATCTCATGGTTTAAATGTGAGGGGCGTATAGTATATATATATATATATATATATATATATATATATCATTGCATTATGCTTGTAAGGGTTATACCAGATTTGATTATGAGATGGCCAACAACACTCCCTCATTTATAATCATTCAGCTGCCCAGTCAAGTCAGGAGAGAGTACACAGCCCTGCACACCCACCCATTAGTGATATTAAAGCAGTCCCATACAGCACGGCCTCATCTAATGTGCAGAATATAATCGGCAAACTAAATTGGATCTATAAATATCTGTCCTTTTAATGCTTTGACTTATTCGATCATTCCAGCAGTGACATCAACACTGACAAACAGAGCGCTATTCAATTTCCATGCCTTACTTATTATTCAAAGGTCCTCTGTGAACTTATTCATGTGAAGGGGAACTTTGTGTAAAATTACACCAGTGTACCATCACTGATTTGAATCATTTCTGCACTCAGTATTCAAATTGATTCTCAAGCTGCGTGTGACCTGATTTGGACTTTGGCAATCATGTCTCTTTGAAAACCCAGGATGTCACAATCCTAAATAATTTTTTGGTGTCACTCCAAATCAGTCACAATCGAGACGACCATTACATCTTACACAAGTGAGACCCGTAATGCCTTTATTGAATTCTGGTGTCTGATGTTGATAATCTCCAGTTGTAATGTAAACTCATTATTGGCAGCCTGGTTGCATCAATCCTTCTGCTCTCTTGTCTCCATCAGATGATCTTCCCCTTCCAGTGGCAGTGTCCCTACATCCCCCTGTGCCCGCTGTCTTTAGCACAAGTCCTCAACGCTCCTTTTCCGTTCATAGTGGGTGTGGACTCCCGCTACTTCGACCTTTACGACCCCCCGCCAGATGTTGTCTGTGTGGATCTGGACACTAACACCATCTACCTGTATGCGATGCACCCTTAAATCTACAGTTTCTCAAAATTCCTGCAGCAATATACTTCCTTAACCAAGAGCAGTTTGCAGATTATTATTGTGCAGTGCTCCTGGTGACTTCCAGCTAACGGCCCTCGTGGCATTGTGTGTTACAGGTCTGATGAAAAGAGACACAACAACTGGAAGAACCTCCCAAAGAAGCCCTGCAAGAGTCTCGTTAACTCTCTGAGCAACTTGCACCACCAGCTGGCCACCGGTACAAACACAACCTTTGTTGAAATTATAACTGATGAAACTGAATAATTAATAATAATGTTGATTATCAAAATATTAAATCTAATGAAGCGCTAAAGGAAGTAATTATAAAAAATTAGATTATGATTTTGAAAATCGTAGAATGTGCTTCACAAGTAAAGTTGTTAACTTAATTTTAATGCAAAAAATAGTTACACATCAGCACACTAGTGTCTACTCAGCTAGTTTTGAGATAATAGTAACTTGTGTTAAAGTTATTTTTTGTATCAAAAAGGTTCAATTGAAAGCGTTATCATTTTTCAAACCATTTTTCTTAATCTTTCAGTGAGTCGGTAAAGAATATTTATATTTCTAGAAGGATTTTTAATAAAGATAAATTGTTCAGCTTTATAGCTTCACTGTAAACACTGTTAGCAAAGATCATTCCATTACACCAGCCGGTGCAGTGAGTCCTAAATATACAACACTGCCCACTGTTGTAGAGTAATGTATCTAAAACGTCTCTAGTTGCAGTCCGCCAAACATCACAGGAAGGCTCCGCGGTGGACATGACCCCCATCGAGGCTGACTTCACCTGGCACAAGAAGAAGACGGCCCTGGAGATGGAGATCCAGGAGACCTTCCTTCGCTTCATGGCCTCCATCCTGAAGGGCTACCGCTCCTATCTCAAACCCATCACAGAGGCGCCCTCGGAGAAGGCCACGGCGGCGGACTCCCTCTACGATCTGCAAGGTAAAGAAGTGATTGACGGCTCCCTTTCCTAATGTGCCCAAAAGCAAAGCGGTCATTATGATGGTATTGGTTTTCTTTAAATGTTTCCTATTTATATGGACGCTGTTATTGTGATTAGCCTTCAGGCTTCTTTTTAGCCTTTGCATAATTTACAGTAAGCTAATGATTCGTTAATCGAGATTCATATTTTAAGGCACGTCACGGCAATCACTCTACATGAATGCTTTCAGATCTCAGTCATCTTTCTCCGCCGCTCAAATAAGACTTCACTAATGCCTGTTGCTGGGAAACCGGTTTTAGACAGTGAAAGAGTGAAGCAAAAGGCTTCTTTCACATTATCAAATGGTCCCATTCAAACACTTTGTCTGCATAAAGAAAGAAAAGGGGGGGGGGCGCTAGTAGCCTGATGGTTGTGTCGTGCACCCTATGTTCAGTATGGGGGCTGTGCGCCTCATTGCAGCGGCCTTGGGTTCGGCTGCATGTCACCCCCTGCTCTCTCCTCCCAATGTTTCCTGTCTCTCTTCAGCTGTCCTATCCAATGGAGGCGAAAATGGCTCAAAAAATATCTTTTAAAATCTTTTTTTTTTTCCACATGAATCACTTCATCTGTACATTTTTCTCGTGGATTTCAGAGTCTCTCCTTTCTTCCTCGCAGGCTTTCTCAAAAGCAGAGACCGTACGCATCAGAAGTTCTACTCCCAGCTCACCAAGACCCAGATCTTCATCCGCTTCATCGAGGAGTGCACCTTCGTCAGCGACAAGGACACCGGCCTGGCCTTTTTCGACGACTGCGTGGAGAAGGTGATTACATAGTCGGCGTCAGGCTGCTGTCAGATGTGTACAAACGGCACACTGGTGTTATGTTCTTCCACTTCCACCTGAGGATTCCTTCCTGGAACAAGCCTTTTGTTTTGCGTTTTTTAATTGGTGAAATAACACTGGCCTGCTGGGGAAGCGGGGAAGTCAAAATTTCCTCTGATTCATTCTGTTCCCTTTGCTCTATTTCCTCCCCTTGCAGCTTTTTCCCTCTGATAAAATCGCGGACAAGGGCACCAAGGTAATCACTCTCACTGAAATCAGGTTTTCCTGCACCTTGTTCTTAAATGCTTGTCACTAACATTAAACAGAAATGAGCCGTGTTCTCCTTTTTGAAAAATGTTTCCATTACGGGGCATGGAAAGTTCCTGCTTCTTTCTATCCTAACCACAATCACATGAGCATGTTTAACTGCATTATTGGAAAGACGTGACAGATTGTAGTTTGTGTGCAGTTCAGAGCTTCCATCAGACCGCCTGCAGAGTGTGCTTTTATTAAAAACTCATAGTTATGAGTATCACTGAGTCCTGGCTGCATGTAATCCTCACTAAAGGTTGAAGGCGAGTCATCTGAGGACACGAGGCTGTTAGAACTGGACGAGTCGCAGAAGAGCGAGCACACTGTCTTTGTTATGCCCCCTGAACCTGCAGCTGACGATGGACCTGAACCTGCACCCAGATACACGTAAGTCTCATGAACTCCACTTTATTAAAACCTTATTGATTTGGCATTAAACAAAAGTCTAAAAGAAATCTTTTTCTCATGCTCCAGTTATAAAAGTTTCCCGAGGCTGCACATGGGGCTCTTTGACCGTCCTAAAGAGTTACGGCCAGCGATCAGCAGCAGGACAGCAGGCGCCAGTCTGTCCAGCAGCCCTGCACTGCTGGCTAAGAGGACCAAGCAGGTGTGCACTCACTCACATAATCACTTTATGGAAAAGTAGCAGCAAAAACCCTGTTAGTTGAAAATGTGTTTCCCTCCATTATCTCATCAAATCGTCAACCCGTTTCAAAAAGATCAGCATGTTTTTTTGCCCTGATCCAACAGGAGATCAAGCTGGCATACAAGATGGCAAAGCGCTTCTACTCCAACCCTGCGCAGTGGGCCCGCTGTCTGTTCAGCCACTGCTACAGCCTGTGGTTCATCTGCCTGCCAGCAGCCGCGGGGCTCGCAAAGTCGAAAAGTCGCGCCATGCAGCAGGCGTACAACATCCTCCTGAAGATGAGGACTACTGAGGTGGAGGTGCTGGATGAGGTACAGGCACAGGTTTTTTTCTTCTGGCTTCTTCTTTACATCCTATTTGTATAAATTGGTGTTTCATATTTGTTGGTCTTTTGGGGCGTTCAGGTGTGCTTCAGAGTGGTGATGCAGCTCTGTGGTGTGTATGGTCTTCCTGTCATGGCTGTGAGAGTTCTGGTTGAGATGAAGAAAGCTGGAGTGCGCCCTAACGCCATCACATATGGATACTACAATAAGGTCCGAAACAGCCTTTAACATTGTCTATACTGTCGCTATAAAGACCTGAAAACAGGCATGTCCTCATCCTTTATTCTGTTTCCTCCACAGGCCGTCTTAGAGGGCCCCTGGCCGAGCAGAAACCGGAGTGGCCTCTTCATGTGGACTAAGCTGCGCAACGTACTGCGTGGAGCGACCCAGTTCAAGCAAGCACTCCACAGCACGTCTTCCAAGAAGGGAGCCACACTTAGTACCACAGGTTGGTATGGAGTATGCAGTATGGTATATATTTACTCCCTTTTCCGTTTCCCCCCCCTTTTTTCTCACTTGCTTGAAACTATGTCTCCTGGCCGCAGCTGCATCAGAAGAAGGGTCTGCAGCCACTGAAGTTGACCGTTTGAGTCATGGAAGTGGCGACAGTTCAAGCGAGGTCAACGGTGAGGAACACAACCTGTTTGCACACAGCCACAGCCTGGAAGAGACCACAGACAACCACTGCAGTACAGGTACTGACATCCTCAAATGCACAGGTTTTGAGTAATGTTTTTTAAAAATAAGTTCTATATCTGTCTGGTTGCTGCATTTGCATGTTTGAGCAATAACATAGGTGAGTGTTATGTAACCTTAACTTCAAGAGAAAAGATAATGACAAGAGGACCTAGGTGGTAAAAAGAAAACAATATGAAGCAGATTTAATTCAACCCTCTGTGAAAGATTCTAAAACATGGTTTGTGGGTCTTCTGCGCCCCCCACAGGACGGCAGTCTGATCAAGGCTATGGCTCCAAGGACGAGTTACACCAGGAGCTAACAGAGCCTTCACATTCAGCTCTTCTTTCTGCTGTGGAGAGGAACAGTTCCAAAAATCAGCATAATGGTACAAAGAGCATACCGTGATTAAGTTTCCTATTGTTTTGCTGGTCTAATGATTTACAGCCTGCTAAGCCATGACACTGAGTAAAAAGGGGAAGCCTTGTTATAGTCTAAGACATTTGGCTTTCTGGTGTGCAGATCAGAGTATGCATATGTGGAGATACAGATACAAATTCCTCCCCTTTTGGATGGGGGAGGGGTGCACATGTGATGTGCAATACTATGCTGAAAAGTGTAATGTGTCCATATGCAGAAGAAAAGAGGACAAGGATCTCATCTTTCCAATATTTTACCTGTCAGGGCATGTGCTTAGTGTGGGTTGCAAAATAAAATATTTAAGGCACTTCATTACAGATCAAATGTCTGATGGTGATGACATATACAGACAGTGCTGAATATAATATGCTCAGGCCAATTCTCTCTGTGTTCAGACCACATCAAGATACATTTCTTTAGAGCATATTGTACTCACCTGTGTATACTGCCCCCATGTGGGCCAAGTATAGAGATGCACGCCACTTACAATGATTCTATGAGGACACTTTTCAAAGAACTTGCACAAGTGAACTGTTTTTTAAAAGCAGGAGTTTAACCTTTCCAGGCTCTTGTGAGAAACTTCATGTACAAATTGAATAGGTAGGTAGTGGTAGACTAACATGACAAATAAGATTAAAGCAGGTGTATATAGGCAGTCCAGGTGGAAAATATTTTTTTGGTTTTAAATTGCTGTAAAGAAAAATTCAAGAATTCTTAAGGTAGAGAACTCCATAATTTGGATCCTCTGTAGGTTTAACTAAACTGAGTTTGACAAATCCTGGAATAAGTGGGCTCTAAGGAGACAAGAGTTACTTTTGGAGCATTGGTTATTGTATGAATATATGTCACAGAAAGAGGGAGGAAAGAAACTGTGTAGAAATAAGGTTTATCCTCCTCCTTTTATTAATTGTTAATTGTGTCCTTTTATTACCAGGTGGAGATATTGCCAGCTCTGTGGACAGTGCTATAGCAGTGGCGGAGCCCCCCAGTCCTGTTGATTTACCCTCGCCTGTCCCCAGCATTGTGAAGCTGTTCACAGGGAGCTTTGACGCCGGCAGGGAAACAGGTGAGAAGAGCGACATCCAAACATTTGATCGTGAGAAAGCCAAACTGAAGGTGCAGCTCTAATTATATCTCTGCACATTCTGCAGGTACCGGGAAGCTGTTTAGGAGACAAAGCAAGACTGATAGCGTGTCTTTCCCTGGTGACGATGCCACGCTGGTATCAGGGGACGTAGCTAACCAGCCAGCAGCAGCAGCAGCAGCAGCAGCAGCAGCAGCAGCAGCAGCAGCAGCGACAGAAGTCCTTTGCCGAGCGCAGCTGTAGCTTCAGCGCTGAGAGCCGCGCTGGGATGCTCCTGGAGAAAGGAGTAGACCACATGGCGAGTCAGATGGGTGCAGATGCCCGTATCCTTGCTGCAGCTCTCTGTGCCGGCCAGAGCCCACCGCCTAATAGTGTGTCTAAAGCACTTTTTAAAGACCTGGAAGAAGAGCCTGAAGAGGACCAGGGTCTGATACTGGGAAAGCTACATGACCAAGAGGGTACTGAGGCAGCAGGAGAATGGAAAGGAGACGAGACAGAGGTAGAGCGGACTGAGGATAAAATGGAAAAACGAGAGAGGAAAGACACTGAGACACAGGACGATGATTTTGCCCTTCGTGGAGCGGCGCTGGAAAGAGAAGATGTGCAGGCAGGTGCTGACCCGCTTTCCCGCCTGATGTCCGAGAGCGAAGACTCTGCTTCCGTCAACAGCCAGGAGCCACTTCGCTCCGTGCCTGCTGTGGTGTCCCGCAACCTGGCCGAGGAAATCGAAATGTACATGAGCCTGCGGAGTCCCCTGGGTGCGAAGTCGTCCAGCATGGAGCTCCAGCAGGCTCAGGGAGACTCCACTGACGCCCCACAGCCCAAGCCGCCTCTGGAGCGCAGATCCAGCCTCCCCGTGCCTCCTGTTAAAACTCTGACCGGCTCGCCTGGTGATACACCCAAACGCAGTCCTAACACTGTCACACGCTCCAAGACTTTCGCAGTAAAGACAAGAACCCCCGCCAGCACTACAGGAAGCCCCGGACCAAGATCTGCCTCACTGACTGCGCTGGTAAAGTCCTCCCAAGGGGGGTCGTTGGGATCTGTCATCAACTCTATTTCAGGAATAAAGATGGACACCCTTTTGTCAGGACCCAAGATTGATGTACTCAAATCCAGCATGAAACAGGCGGCAAATGTGGCCAGCAAAGTGTGGGGGGCAGTCGCTTCAGCTTACTCCTACTCTGATGACGAGGTTAGTTATATTAAAGGACGATTGCTGACATTCTTTTCCCCATTATTTTATCCATACTATCACTTTACATTTTGTATTTGTTCTTGTACTTTGTAGGATGAACATGCTCAGGGAGGAGGGGGCTTCCCGGCACGCCTCGATGAAAACATGCTAGCCGAACACGAGTTAGACGACAGTCCCGACAGAGGAGCCATCCCGGGGTTGGTGGCAAACGGCCTGAACCAGAGCTGCACCAGCCTGGGCAGCAGCAGTGGCAGCAGCGACACTGGCAGAGGGACCCACCAGACGCGTAAGCACTTAGTCTGACGCCGAAACATGCAAAGGGTCTAATGGGGGCTAGCTTTAAACTCTGCTTGTGTCTCTAACTGCAGATCCAACTCCAGGACGAGCAGGCAGGGGTCCCGACTCTGAGCAGGGCTCGTCACATCACGCCTCCTCCTCTAGTATTTACCAGAACTGTGCCCTGGAGGTGAGACATAGTGTCACAGACTTTACTGCCAACATGCCACAGTGGATTAACTACTAACTGGTTGGGTGTATTTTTCCTGCTGTTAGGTGCTGATGTCCAGTTGCTCCCAGTGTCACTCTTGTGAAGCTCTGGTGTACGATGAGGAGATAATGGCCGGCTGGACGGCAGATGACTCCAACCTGAATACCAACTGTCCTTTCTGCCGCACAGCCTTTCTCCCCTTTCTGCATGTGGAGTTTCATGACTTGCGCACAATGACCGGGTATGGATCTGTTGTCTTTGAATTTGCAGGAACATATTCTTACATAATATGAACTGTTACCATGAGAAACCCCATGTAGGGCAGCCCACCAAAATTTGACAATTCAAATCATAAGTCAAGAAGATGCCACGTTGATTCTTTCTTGTCATTTAAATATCTCCTCAGATTATTACCAAAGCAGCAGCATAACAATCTGGAAACTTTTTATTTTTTAAAAGCTCCAAAAAGTTGTTTTTTTGACAGGAGTAGAGTTACCCAAAGAGATCTCCTCAATCCAATCAGTGTAAAACAATCTCCAGTGTTCTTCTGCAACTTACAAGAACTGATCTCCCTCTTATTTTAGCTCACAATCTCACCGCAATTTAACTAAATCGTGTTTTCCCTCTCAGCTTCTATATGAATCCCAGTGCCTCAGGAGACAGCATCCACAGCACCAGTGCCCAGCCCACAGCCAGTAGCTCAGCTGACATAAAGTCACCAGACCTCATCAGTTTCCCTGAAGAGGAATCCAAGGAGTCTCCAGATGACCAGACTGGAACACATAAAAGGTACCAATAACCACATGGAACACCCACAGCACCTTAAGCAGAGAGTTTCCTTTTGCTTATCTTATCCTGACTCCCGCTTTGCCTTTTGTGTTTTAGTCTGATTCCAGAGCCGGTGCAGTCGGATCCCCTGGGTCTCCTGGAGCACCAGGCAGCGGGGAAGCAGCAGAAATGCAGCGGGACGTCCCTGACGCGCAGCAACAGTGTCGGGGGCCCGCTGCAGAGCTTGGACTACTCCCAGAGACCTGGACATGGTGTGTCCACCACCAGTCTGCCCTGTAGCCTGCAAGAAGTGTCGGTCAGTTTTCCTTAGGATGGCATCACTTACATCACTTGATATGTTGTTCTCATTAATAGTTGGCCAGCTAGCGAAACTCTTGCTTGCAAAAAGATGGATTGAGTTGTGGTTAGTGAACCAGTAACAAAGTGACACAATTATAACTGGAATGTGGGGAAAAATAATAGGTTTGTGTGTTCGACTTTCAGGATGGCATGGGGACTAAACGGCCAAATCCCAAGCCTGTGTCTGTACCCTACCTCAGCCCCTTGGTGTTGCGCAAGGAGCTGGAAACCCTGTTGGAGAATGAGGGAGACCAGGTAAAGCACTCACATGCACACATCATGTCTCCCACGCAGCTCGTACAAATGCATTTGCTCCAACTTCCCATTCATTACCTACCAGGTGATCTACACCCACAAGTTCCTCAGCCAGCACCCCATCATCTTCTGGAACCTGGTTTGGTATTTCCGTCGCCTGGACCTGCCCAGTCACCTGCCAGGTCTCATCCTTACCTCTGAACACTGCAACAAAGGAGTACAGGTTCGACACTTGAAATGTCATCTTTGATTATTGTGTCTCTTCTTTTTTTTTTTTGTTCTGGTTCTCCTTCATGTTTCCCTGTTTGTCTTTGCAGCTGCCCCTGACCTCACTGTCCCAGGACAGCAAGCAGGTGTACATCCAGCTCCTGTGGGACAACGTCAACCTGCACCAGGAGAATGGAGATCCTCTTTACCTGCTCTGGAGGACCTTTAGTGAGTGAACAATAATAAGTAATACACAGCCATGCTACATTAGGAGTTGTAAAAGAAAAGAAAATATGCAATACTGAAATCATGTTTTATGCAAGAACAAAATCAACCACTAGAGGGAGACAAAGTCCAAAAAAATATTTAATTCCTTCACCGAGTTGCTGTAGTTGATATTATGTTTTTGTTTGATAAATCAGTGTTATGTTGGTTGAAAATTAAAACAATATGTGGATCTTTATATATGTCATAAGCTCAGATTTGGGCAAGAACATTACATAATGCAGTTATTTGTAGCACTTTGCATCCAGTATCACGTTTGGAGTGAAAGCTCTGTCTTGTTCTCTAGTGGAGAAGAAGGGGACGTTGGCTCCAACAGACCACCAGGAGATCCGTACCCTCCTCAACACAATCGTTCGCAACATCCAGACCAATGATGTCTACGGGCCAATCAACCTGTTGATCCGAGAGATCAAGCGACGCCCAGAGGGGGTCAAACGCCAGAGGTCAGCCTTCACCTTGTGTCTCATTGATCTCCTAGAAACTCCAAAAGTTTAGCTGTAAAAGATTCAAACGTTCATATTTTGAATGCTAATTTAAACGTCTCTTATGTGTCATGCATTTCTTGCAGGAGTATCTATAGAGACATTTTGTTCCTCTCACTGGTGGCCTTGGGAAGGGAGAACATCGACGTAGGTGAGTGATTGTTTCGAACGGAAGGCTTCCCGTCGCGTCACGCTAGCAGGTAACCTTTTAGAGTCTGAATGTCGTGAAAAGTGTTGCTAATTTGCATCGTGTGACTTTGATGATCCCGCAGAGGCCTTCGACAGGGAGTACCGCCTGGCTTACGACGAACTGAGCGCCGAGCAGCTCAAGTCTTTGCACCGCATCGATCAACCGCCCAGCCCGAGCGTCCAGTGGTGTGTTAAATGCTTCGGTGCCCCCTTCATCTGATCGCCAACGACTGCAGCAAAGACAGGAACCATGGCCCAAGTGTTACAGCAGGAGGAAAGGATTGGGTGGCGGGGGAAATTATTTTGAATTGAAACGCGTCCAATTCCCAATCGTGGTACTACTTCTCCCCCTTGACCTAGAAGACACTCCTTTTCTGCTTTTTGACACCCTCATGTTGCCTTTGTTAGAGGCTTACCAAGCCGCTACTTAAATGGGACTCTTTGTGTAAATAGGTTGGAAAGCTGCAGTGAATCTTTTGGGTCTAGTTGAGGTATACTTATTCAAAGATGGTGTAAAGGTGTATTAATCACTGTACAGAATGTATTGACTGCCCCTGTGGTGTAGACGTATGTGTGTGTGTAAGTGTGTGTGTTTAATAATACAGTCAGTTAGTTTTCTGTCTTCACCTTTTTTGCCCATTCACTCTAATCTTTGCGAACTGTCCCAAAACAGACCATGACTGTTCCATTGTGCACTTTCTAAACAACAACAGTAAGTCAAGTTCATATGTCTTTTTGTACATATTGTTAACTAGGGAGTGAGGGGGGGGGGGGGTTTCAACAAGTCCCGATGCCTTGACTGTTTTGTGTGCTCCAAGTCTTAATGAATTGCTTAATTTGCTTAACCTTAAATGTGCAGGTTCAGTATGAGGCGTTTTGTCTTTGTAAAAAAAAAAAAAAAAGAATTGACGGCACACGTCACAAATAGATGTGAGAGGACAGAGGACAATCACAAAAAAAAAGTTTCTGCAACATTCCAGATGACCCTCAATAAGTAAGGTCTGAAAAGTATTATGAATCCCTTCAACAACACTGAACTGATTAAAAGCAGGCATTCGGAGGGAAAAAAAATCATCGGTGGTCAACTCAAACAATAATCCTAGACACATGTTTTCTTGCAGGGAAAGCCAGCCTCAGTGATGGAGCAGTCAGTCCTACTTGTGTTTTTAATATCTGCATTTTTTTAAACAGTCACAACGTGTACTTAATCAGCTAATACGCCGTATTAGAATATTAAATTAGAACTGTCACTTAAATATATTGGGTCTGCTTCCTACTCTAGGGTAGCCTGAACTATTAGAGGTTTTTTTTATTGGGTCTATTTTTTGAAAGGAATGCTTTTATGGTTTACACTCGGTAGCTTTGGCTGATTAGGGCAGCAGTTAGAGCTTTAAGTCACAAAGGGCTTCTTCATGACTGCTGACACTGTTCATTATCCAAGATGACATTCCACTTTAAGACAGAAAAGAAGCAGCTGTGATGAAATGCTGGGGACATGGGTGTAGATAAATAGATGGATAGATGACCTTTATTGTAGGGTTGGGAGAGTCCCTTGTACAGAAACATTAATATTGTGAAATAATGAATTTGCACTGCATAGATTAAAACCTGACCTGAACCCAGGATGAGAATGAATTGAGACCTTTACGAAATATTAACAACACAGTTTGTTTTTTTGCGGAAAAAAAATAGAAATGCTCAATTATTTATTTTTGTATTATTGACATTCTGATTGCTGACAGTGTAATCCCTTAGTATTTTATCACTAACAATCTCCCTTTGCCCTTTAATCTTTCCCACCCTGTACTGACTTTGTAAATGTTGCCTCTTTATGACAGAGGATGTACAGAAGAGATTGTTTTTTAACAATAGATTAAGTGATCTCTTACCGTCCTGTGGAAAGGAACTGAATGTCTACACTTAAGTGCGCTGCAATAAATGAGTTTGTGTATTGATTGAAAACAAAATGTGTCATTTTTTGTCTCCATTAATGAGAACTTGTGTCATACCTGCTCATCAACAGAGATTTCTGCACTGCAGGTCTGATGGATTTAAAGCTCCTGTGATTAGCTGCTGACTAGTCATGAAACAGACTGAATTATTGCTGATGCCTATTATTAACAGGAATAATAATAGTAGAATAATCACATTACCTTTTAGTATGTTGAATTTTTTTTAAAACATATTGTGGAAAAAAAAAAAGTTAATTATGTGAAACAAAATGTAAAGGGTTGCTTTTTAGATTTCATAATGACCTCAATTAAAACATTTAATAAAAACAAAATAAAATAAAAACAACCCCTAGAGGAATAGATCAAAAATGGAAATTGTGGTCCCTCAGTCAATGAAGGAGTATTTAAGAAGTTTTCTCTTTCTGGCTCGTGCTGTTGTCCGCACATGGTTTACACGCACGCACTCACGCACGCGCGTCATCAAACACCATGGTAACAACCAACCGAGGCTATATAAGGACCGCAGACCGTTCAACTTTCCCCTTTTTGCAATTGAACTTTGACGAGAGTTGACCTTTTGCAAGACCTTGCTGGAAAGCTAATTATTTAAAAGCGCTGCATCAATATCTTCTCCAAGAACACTTCTTCTAAAACAACAGGAAAGAAAAGAACTTCTTGGACTCAGTGGGACACCTATCGGGGTCACCAAAGAGCTCGGAGATCACCTTCAGCGGACCGGTGATGGACGAGGAGCACCTGTCCGCCCAACACTTGTCTGACAGCGGTGGAGGTATTTCAAATGTGACCTTTTTTTTTTTAATCATTGACATTTCACTGATTAATTTATTAATCTCCATAAACGCTCTGACGTTTTATCAGTCAAACCTTTTTTTAAATGTGAGATTTAAAGTCGAGAGCTCTCATGATGTTATTAGGGCCTCAATGAAAAAAACAAATGTTTGGTGAACTTTGATTTTCTCGCTGTTTTTCCTGTGTAAAAAAAACCTTTTGATTGCTGTAATGTCTGAATACTTAGCGCGCCAATTGTGGACTCAATTAGGAAGTGTCGGGGTGATTTGAAATACTGTTATTTTGGTTTAAGAGCAACAATTTTGTTCGGAAATTAAACATAAATTATCTGAAAAAGATGGCGACCAAGCCAAATTTTGTAAAATGCTAAATATATTATTTAGTTTTGCACCATGGAGACCATCATTCGGGAGATCCATGACGTCAGAACGTCAGTGTCAGTAACTAGGCACGTTCTTATCTCAGTACGTTTGTTTTGATGTGGAGATAATATTAAATTATCTTGTGCTTTTATTTTCAAGCTGTTCTCATTCCATCAAATTACGATCATGGGTTTTATATTCATTTAGGCCTACTATATTTGAGTTCAATGTCATAATTCATGCTTTCAATTGCGTTTTTTTTATTAAATCAAATTGAATCAAATTTGATACAGTGGCCTATCAAATAGTCCCTTCTTCCTATAAAAGCTCTGAGCTGGTTGGAGATTCTTCTAAGTAGACTTTATTTTGCCTATTTTTAGAAAATCCTAGAATTGTAACATTTGTCAGTGTTATGTTTGTTTATCCATCATGTCATCATGTAAAACAGGACTAATCTATAAAAGGCTTAAAAAAATGACCAGATTGTAGATTTCTAGTTTATAACCTGGGTCTTCTGACGTATATATATGAACATCCTTGTATGTATGTTTCATAAAGTGTTGCATGAACGCAGCTTTAAAAAATCATCAAAGTAGAGCGTCACAATATTTTGTATCACTGTTAAAGGGCCTAAGGTTTGTGGCTGGTTTGGGATTGTTTAGGCTGCAATCTTAGTCAGTATACAGACAAATGAAGTGCTAACTTTACACAGATGTTGTTATTTAATCAGACGTTGTTACATTTTGAAATCAGGTATACTGATGCTTTATTTTTGTCTCCCTCAGTGGTACGTCCTGACGGCCTCCCCGAGATGATCAGCATCAGGATCGTGGACGACGATGATTCTGAGGTAGAGGTAGGTATACCAGAGGACACTCCCCCAGTGTCCTCTGGTGATGGAGAGGAAGTCATCTGGGTCTTGGATGACGAGGAGGAGGAGGAGGACCAGGTAGAGGTAGGTATACCAGTGGACATTTTTTCAGTGTCCTCTGGTGATGAGGAGGAAGTAATCTGGATTTCGGATGACATGGAAGCAGAGGAAGAGGTAGGTAGACCAGGGGACCTTTCTCCAGTGTCCTCTGAGGATGAAGATGAGGATGAGGTGAACGGAGAGGAGCAGGAAGAGGAGCATGAAGAGGAGAGGGGAGAGGAGACTGAAGAGGAGACTGAAGAGGAGACTGAAGAGGAGAGCGAGTATGAGGAGGACTTTTCAGACTCGTTCAGTGAGGATTCTGGGTATGAATCCATGTATGACTCTGAAGAGCACCTCGAGGATGAAGATGAAGAGGAGGACAACAGATCTCTCTCCTCTTTGGACCAGCAGATACCGGAGGATTTCTACCAGAGATGGCAGCAGGTGTCTCCTCCTGTTCCTGATGCTCCTCCTCAGCTGCTGACTGTCCGACATCCACAGGAAGAAGATCCTACCTCACCTTCAAGAGCAGAAGATAGTGCTCCCTCAACCTCAGGCCTCAGCTCCTCCACCAAGAGGAGCAGGGAGGAGAGCTACATGGACTCCACTCCATCCACCTCAGGCTCCTACAGAAGAAGAGGATTCTGGGAGTATCCCCCTGTGGTTGATGACAGTGATTCTGATTTGGATGACAGCCCTGATTCCACCTCTGCAGTAGAAGAGGAAGCCAGACCAGGGGACATTCCTCCAGTGTCCTCTGAGGATGCAGATGAGGATGAGGTGATCGAAGAGGAGAGCGAAGAGGAGTATGAAGAGGAGTATGATGAGGAGTATGATGAGCAGTATGAAGAGGAGTATGATGAGGAGTATGAAGAGGAGTACTATGAGGAGTATGAAGAGGAGAGCGAAGAGGAGAGCGAAGAAGAGTGCGAACAGGAGTTCGAAGCGGAGAGTGAAGAGGAGAGCGAGGACGAGAGGGAACAGGCGACCGAGGGCGAGGAGGACTTCTCAGGCTGGTTCAGGGAGGATTCTGGGTATGAGTATGACCCTGAAGAGGACCTCGATGATGAAGATGAAGAGGAGGACAACAGATCTCTCTCCCCCTTGGACCGGCAGTTCCCGGAGGATTTCTACCAGAGATGGCAGCAGGTGTCTCCTCCTGTTCCTGATGCTCCTCCTCAGCTGCTGACTGTCCGGCATTCACAGGAAGAAGATCCTACCTCACCTTCAAGAGCAGAAGATAGTGCTCCCTCAACCTCAGGCCTCAGCTCCTCCACCAAGAGGAGCAGGGAGGAGATCCTCACAGAGCAGGTAAGTAGTAAGAGGCCCAGGTGTGACTGTGAGGAGAGTGCTCCCTCAACCTCAGGCCTCAGCTCCTCCACCAAGAGGAGCAGGGAGGAGATCCTCACAGAGCAGGTAAGTAGTAAGAGGCCCAGGTGTGACTGTGAGGAGAGTGCTCCCTCAACCTCAGGCCTCAGCTCCTCCACCAAGAGGAGCAGGGAGGAGAGCTACACGGACTCCACTCCATCCACCTCAGGCTCCTACAGAAGAAGAGGATTCTGGGAGTATCCCCCTGTGGTTGATGAGGAGACCACAGGAGTATGAAGAGGAGTATGAAGAGGAGTATGAAGAGGAGTATGAAGAGGAGTATGAAGAGCAGTATGGAGAGCAGTATGGAGAGGAGTATGGAGAGCAGTATGGAGAGGAGTATGGAGAGGAGTATGGAGAGGAGTGGGAAGAGGAGTATGGAGAGGAGTGGGAAGAGGAGTATGGAGAGCAGTATGGAGAGGAGTGGGAGAGGAGTATGGAGAGCAGTATGGAGAGCAGTGGGAAGAGGAGTATGGAGAGCAGTATGGAGAGGAGTGGGAAGAGGAGTATGGAGAGCAGTATGGAGAGGAGTATGGAGAGCAGTATGGAGAGGAGTATGGAGAGGAGTTTGAAGAGGAGTATGGAGAGCAGTATGGAGAGCAGTATGGAGAGGAGTATGGAGAGGAGTATGAAGAGGAGTATGGAGAGCAGTATGGAGAGCAGTATGGAGAGGAGTTTGAAGAGGAGTATGAAGAGGAGTATGGAGAGCAGTATGGAGAGCAGTATGGAGAGGAGTATGGAGAGGAGTTTGAAGTGGAGAGTGAAGAGGAGAGCGAGGACGAGAGGGAACAGGCGACTGAGGGCGAGGAGGACTTCTCAGGCTGGTTCAAGGAGGATTCTGGGTATGAGTATGACTAGGTGTGCTACTTCCACCTCAGGCCTCAGCTCCTCCACCAAGAGGAGCAGGGAGGAGAGCTACACGGACTCCACTCCATCCACCTCAGGCTCCTACAGAAGAAGAGGATTCTGGGAGTATCCCCCTGTGGTTGATGACAGCTATTCTGATTTGGATGACAGCCCTGATTCCTCCAGGAAGTGAAAAGTGGAATCTTTTTGTCTGGCAGGACTTTTCAAAGCCCCAGAAACCTTTTCCACATGTCTTGCAGACAATGCTGTTAGGCCACCTTATACCTGCAAGTACTGTACAAGCATTGGGCACGTTTTTTGATAGTTTAAATCAACTTCTGGAATAGTGCAGACTCAGAGGTAGTTACTCTTTCTTACTTTGTTATGTTGTTGTGTATTTGTCTATGTACAGTCCAGGTGGCTATACCAGACAAAGGTAAGGTAATATTTAATAACAATAGTTTCTAAAGACGGCTGATAATTCCATGCACAGGTAATTAAACACTGTTTATTGTCATCACTGTGTTGCACGTAACCATGTTTTAAAAATAAGGTGTAGGTGACTAGCAGACAGAGGTAAGTTTATACTGTCTAACATTAGGAATCTAATGTTCATATCCACTTTTTTTAAAATAAAAAGCAAAATGTTGTCTTTAGCCACTTAGTTATACTGTTGTTTGTTTGCTTCTCAGGTGTACCAACCCCCCCCCCCACAAGATGAGACGATGGAGAAGGCCAAGACTCGACACCCAAGATTCCCATGGCAACAGAAGACGTGTTTACTCCAGAGCAGATGTGAAGGATGGATGACTACAGGACCAGCTGGAGAGCGATGGGCACCTTGCTGTCACACAGCAAAGTAAGTGCTGATAAACTTAAGATGACTTTATGTGTATTCTTTTTATTATAGGTAAAGACATCATGCAAAGGTTGTAATACTATGTCCACACTAACACATGTCTTATGATTCTTTTTCACAGGGCAGGACTCCTCTGTGTTTCCAGTGTTCCTGCATGGGGCATCTATGAATGGACAACCAATCATTCCTCCAGAAGCCTCAGAGACCCACAAGCCCCTCCTCGTCGGCCCCACCAACCCAAACCCCTCAACACCACCCTCTTCTCTCTTTCCATTTTTAAAATCTTTAAAATAAATAATATTTGTGTGCCATAAATTATCTTGTTTGTTTTAAGTTCATAGTTGAAAGTTTAATTATAAACTAAGTGAATGTACAGTAAATATTATATGTATAACTTACTGATCTGATATCTAACTGTACAAGTTTTAAACAAGGGTTCATTAAGCAATTTTCAGACTCTGAAAATACTAAACAAGTTAAATAATTGTCACAAACAGTTCTATATCACAGAGTCAAAAGGTGAATATAAAATTGCTATAGGGCATTCTCTGGCCTTAAAATAATTTCTAGATTATACTTCACTGAAAAAGGAAAACTAATAAATGCATTTTTGAGGAAGCACGGAGGAATTCTGTGGATGTCAGCGAGAGATGTTCAACTCAAGGAGTCCCATTAGATATGTTCAGAAGTTCCAGTTCAGCACTGAGTTTCATGAGGAATAAAGTGTCAAGCTGCATGCACTAATAAAACAAAACACTGGCAAATGCACAGATAGAGACAGCACAGTAAACGAGCCCTCACCCTCTTTTCAGTATAGTGTGTTCCAGGCTATTTTTCTTTTGCAATATTATGAAGTTATCATCAAAAAATAGATGCATTCTCGAGAGGAAAGACTGTTTTATATTTATATGTTTTTAACATGCTTCAGGGTATTTCTTCTGAATTTAGGACTGTGTCAGTATTTGGGTGGTTTAAATCAGTTTGGTGTGGTTTCATGCATGTCAATAGCTCTTGGCAATCTGGTGTCATATGCCATATTGGTGCACATAGAGACTGTTTCCTAGGACTGTGGAAATGACAAAAATATCCAACTGGAAATATTGAAATATTATGTGTGCATAATGAAATCTGTTTGGATGCCGTAAGTGTAATTTGAATTTTGAAATATTATTTTATGGAAGTAATTATTGAAGCAATGTCAAGGAGTTTGTCTTTGTTTAAATAGCCTACATAAAAATACGGATCTTGAATGAAGAAATCATTTTAACATGGTACATTTTGAATGGTTTAAATTTACATGTTTGTGTTTACTTGGCATGCCCGCAGCAATCGTTTTTTTTTAATTTTATTTGGTAAATGTTTTTTTTTTTTTCTTTTTGGAAAAACACCCAAACCCTCAAACATGCAACAAACTTTGTACATTTCCTCAGGCACTCCTTTATGTAGGCTTACTTATCTATGAAAGGAAATTGATTGAGAAAACTCACTTTTCTGAGGATTTTATGATGGCACGGCATTTTTAGAGATAAGGCCACAATTAAATATAGCCTGCTCCCTTCGTGAACATACATTATTATCCTAAACGCATCCTCCTGCCTTGCACATCTGTTGGGTTGGCATGGTTGGCATGTATCATATTTTAAAGATAGATCCCATAGAATGAAATATAGACATACAAATAATGCCATTCAAGCATTACTTATGGGCCTCCATGCATGTGTGGTGTGTTAGTGACTGTGTCCTCTGTCTTCTGAAGGTTTTGGTTTATTTGGGTTGACACGGGAGGTTTCTGGGTGGGAGGTGGACGCGTTTCCCTCTTCGATCAGCCAATGACGGCGCGCAGGTGAGTAGTTATGTAGTGAGTGGATATCATTCATTCAGCGATTGGCCGCGCTTCAAACCGGCGAATATGACGGACGCGGACATTGCGACAACCAAGTGAAAAATATAATCACAGTGAGCCGAAACGCCAAGCGAGCGGATAAAGTTTGTTCTGAAACGAGGGTTCACTTTTTGGGGTTGGCTTTCACCCACGGACGCGGGAGTTGGCGTTGCTTCCTGTTGGACAGACAGGGTGCCAAACACCAAGGTCAGCTTACACCGCCGTGCCTGTAGCTTTCATTGTTGGTCCAAGAAAACGTCCTGTGAGTGAGTGTGTGTGTGTGTGTGTGTGTGTGTGTGTGCGCCCCCCGGGGACGAGCCCAGGAGCAGGGGCCCACTTTGACTGTTGTGTTTACAAGCTGCAACGAGCATTTCTACTGACTGTTCCTTGAAGTAGCCTAATGTTTTGTGGCCACAGGTGCGTGCAGAGGAGCTGTGACTCACGCTGACCTGAACACCCCTCCAGAGAGGACGCGGGACAACAAGATGCCCCTGAAGCGGACGAGAAACGCAGCAAGTGCCCAAATTAAAGAACAGCTGAGCCGGGAGCTGCGACAGAGCAGGCTGACTCTTTTCATTCAGCAGTTTGAGAAAGAAGGTTTGGTAGACTTGTCAACTGTCGGGTCATCCTCCACAGGTGTGAAGCTCTGCCCGTAAAACTGCCAAACATTTACCTTCACAGCACAAGAGCGCATGAACGAGTTGGAGGCCAAACTGGAGAACATGCTGGCGACAGTGGACATAGTCTTCAAAGTGGAGCTGATGAAGATGCCGCCTCCTCTAAGAAACACACTCATCGGGGATTTGATAAGCGGTGAGACGTGCGTCATCATCCACACATTAAATAGGCCATAATTCAAGGATGCATGAAATTATTTGTCGTTTCTTTTTTCTTTTTTCTGTGATAGATGAGGATATCTCAGCTAGCGATGTGTCTATTGCAATGAAGGTGAGTGTATTCCATTGTTTATGTCAATTTGGCGCTTTTTAGGTTATAAAAAGTACAATATAATCCCTTGGTTTTTGTTTTTTTTAGAATGAGACCCTTGAGATGAACCTGCCCCTCAAGAGGGTGCCAAGTAAAAGAGGTAAAGCTGCTCCGTAAACCAAGATGGAAACAACACAGCTTCAAACCCTGAATAAAGAAGTCATCCTATGTGCTTATATATATTTTTTTTTTTAAAAAGCAAAATCAACGGACTCTCCACCGGTTCAGATCACCCCAGCCCAGAGGTCCTCATCAAGAACCTCAAAGGTGAATTAAAAAAAAATCAAAAGGTTATATCCAACTTTAAAACGTGACCATTTCAGTAAATGTTTGTTTTTTATTTCTCTTAGTGTGGAAAGGGGACGAAAAAGACAAGAACATTAGTTGGGAGCAACAGCACTGGAAACCTCAGGTAAGATTGCAGACGCACGAGTCAGAAAAAAAAACGATTTTGTGAATCAGTATGGACACTTTGACTCCATTCTCTACAGGGGCTCCTCAGTCACTGTGAAAAGAACTCAAAGCCGCTTGACCAAGACCAATGACCAGACCATTCCGACCAAACCTAAACTCAGGTCTGTTATTAGTAGACATGTTGTATTTAGTGTTACATTTATGTGACAGTGTTTTTTTTCTGTCCTAAAGAGTTAAACTTGCTGTCGCAGGTCTGTCGTCTCCACTGGTGATCTGCACTGTTCAATGGCAGGCTCTTCTGCACACATCACTGTCACAACAGCACAGGGACAGGTACTTGTGTTTAGTTTATTTCGTCGGCCTATCTGTAAGGGGCGAAGCAATGCTGTATGATTCTTTAATTATAAATAATAAATAAAGATTCCTTCTATGATCCAACAGAACTGAATGATTGAAGTTTGTGCTGGATTGTTATCTGATGACCAAAACTTGTGTTCCATGTATTTTCTTCTCGTTCCCAGACTGTCAGCTTCTCTGAAGAGACCAAGGATGAGATAAACTTGGACTTACTGGATGATGAGGCATGGTGCCAGATTCAGAAGCTCACTGTAAGACAGAGTTCATCTTTAAATGTGCCTCATGAGTGCTTGTGCCATTTCAGAGCAAAACTCTTGACTAAAGCCTTAAAACAATATATAATATATATATCTTAATATTCAAAACTTACATTTGTTCCAACTTGTAATCCCTCTTTGCAAATTTTATTTTCAGAGTCTGATGGCATATCTGTCAAGGCGAAGCCGCTGTCAGCAATGAGTAAAGATCCACTCAGACCCAAATTTTTTCAACATTTAACAACAAAGTCTGTTCTCAAAGTCGAAATCAGTGTATATACGTTTTGTTTATTACTCGTCGGATGTTCTAATAAGAGCATCAGTTGTGTGCTTTGGCTGTCTGAAAAAGTTTTTAAGTTGTTATATAATAAAGCTTATTTGTGTTTTCCTACATGATTATAATTTTATTCAAGAGAAAAACTCTATTTGTTGTTACTCTGTCTGGAGTTTGGGACGTGACAAATCATCTTATCATCGGGAGGGGTAAAGAGTTCAAACCTTTTAGAAATGAGTGTATGATTTTATTGTAGTTAATGATGCGTTGAAAAATTGACTCAGTAAATACGAATGTCTGATTCCAGTCAAGTTTATGTGGAAAAAGTAGCAAAAAATAAGCTTTAACATTCATGTCTCAGTTTGAAAACTGCACATTTTGACACCTCATGATTTCAAAAAAAATGTTTGAGATGGGGAGGATTAAGCTTTTATCCCTAGTACATTCCACATTTTTTAAAATGTCCTACAAAGAAGATTGTTAGAACATAAAACTGAAGAACTACTGCTGCTGCTGCGAGTCAAGTGACTGCATCTCGACCTCCATGGGCTCCTCTCGGTGTGTCTGGGCGGAGGGAGAGCCGGAGCACGGAGCTTGTGTGCAGCGGCTGGAATGCGACTCTGGATCCATGCGGGGATAGAAAGGACCGACCAGCCAGTTGAGTGGGGTGTTATTGACCAGGTAATCCATGACCTTGTCCAGGGAGTTTTTCATTTCACTCAGATGCGCTTTGCTGCTGGTTAGCACACTATCTGGCAGGTCTCTCAGCGCTTTGGCTTTGCTGAAGCTGTTGTAGACGTGTGTGGCAGAGCGGCCAAGGGAGAGCGCCTCATGCTGGACGTGGCTGGGAAGGCCCTGGAGACTGGAGACGAGGCCCAGACACGTGGTTTGGAGCTGGGTGGTGAGGGAGCGAGCCAGGGCCAGGGTGCGAGACTCGATAACCTGAGTGGAGGGAATGGAAAAAATAATGACAATCAAAAATCTGAGTCGGGGCGGAAAAAAATGTGGTGTGTAACCCAACTATTCACATAAAACAGAATAAACAATGTGCACACTGACATCTCTTTCATTAGTGTCTTCCACCTCCTTACCTCTGCCTCGTGACCATACTCCTGGTTTGGACCACTGGACTTCCACCCCACCAGGGACCTCAGCTTGTCATTAACACTCTGGTTAGCCCCATTTCTGTCATGTTGAATCTAGAAGAAAAACATATCAGATGGTTTTTTTTTTGTCTTTTTAACGTCTGTAAGCCATCACAATATTAGCATTTTACAATCCATGTTTTAATGAATATGGACTGGAGGTAGTTTTTTTTTTTTGTTAATGGGCAGCAGTAGATGCTTTTAATATGTTTAATGACCTACCAGGTCAACAGTATAGTTGAGCTCGGAAATGAATTTCCTGCTCGTCATCTTGCCATCTTGGATCTTGACCAGGGCTCGGTTGTACGCCCGCTTCCTGAGCTTGGTGGAGAGGGAACCAAGACGGACGTAGTAGCTCGTCTTCTTGCTGTCAAAGCCCCTCACAGCCTCCATCTCTGTCATGCGGGGGGAGAAAACGAGGACAAACAACATTTGATGACTGGGTCCTTTTCAGGATTTTCTAGTAGAGTTTGCATGTTGAAGTAGCAGGATGCTTTAAATCCATGAAAAATGTTACAAGGACTAAACAGAATCCATTCAGATTAGCAGGCTTGTTTGTTCTTACCACAGTTCACTCTTAACAAAGACCCCTTTTATGATGCAAGGAAACATACTAACAGCATTATCTGGTAAGTCCTGTTTTGCTGGAAACTTGACCAAATCCATCATAAACGCATAATTCGGCAGCTTAGTAATAACTGACCTTTTTTTCTTGCAGCAAAACAGAGAAACATAGTCACTGGAATGAGGAGGTTTCACTCACCCAGCTCTTCCTCCGTCAGAGGCAGATACTGCTCCACCAGACTCTCAGAGGTACTGAGGGCCGTGTCCACCCCGCTGCTGACCAGCTGAGCCACTCTGCTTTCCAGCACCGTGGTCACACTCCCACTGACAACCGCCCTGGTCCTCTCCATCCCATCGTGCACCGCGCCCCGCGTCATAGTCACAGCACTGGTCAGGGTGTCTGAAACTGTGTCCTTGGCACCGGACACTTTGCCAGTCACAACTTCTTTGGCATTGGTTACCACACCCTTAGCACTAGAAACAACCTGGGTAATAAAAATACAAACAAAAATAGTTGTAATGATTAGGGGAAAGTTGTTTTTTTGGACTTTAATGCCTTTAATTGTTAGGACAGTGGATAGAGTGGGGAACGACATGCAGGAAAGGAGCCACAGATAGGACCCAAAACCAGGCTGCCCGCCCGGAGGACCTCAGCCTTTGCCCATGTGGCGTGGTGAGGGGAAAGTTTAAAGTTCAAGTAAGTGAAGAAACAGATTTCACAGGAGGTTAAACCCTCATGATTGACCCAACAGTAACTGTCAGCCAAAACTTGTGCAATCTGGCCGCGCATTCACCACATACCTGCTCAGATGGCTGGTGAAGTATTGGCAAGGTTTTCTCAATCTTGTCCAAACCCTTACACGCCAGGTCATTGGCAATGGCAACTATGAAAAACAAGCAATTTAAAGTAAATAGGATGTAATCAACAAGCTTCAACAAGATCCATTCAATACATTCAAAAAAAAAAAACTTCAACAAGAAGTCATATGTGAGAAAAAGATGTGTCACATTTGAGTGATTCAAAGTAAACAGAAAAACTGGGTGAAACATCAAGCTGACTAAGAGAACAACCATCTGACCTGAAGTTCCTGTTTCTCTGAGTGACTCAGCTGGACAGCACATAACTGTCCTCTGAACGTCAAAGACACATATTGATTTTATTTTTGCATGAACAGAACGAAAGCAATGGGATTCGTACTCTGAGGTTCCAGCTTGTAAATGATGGGCGAAGCTGTGGTGACGACCACGGAGGTGATGTTGCGGACGCCTTGCTCGGCAGCCTCACACACCGTCTTGAAGTAAGGGTGGGTGTCCTTGGTGTTGCAGTACACGCTGGATACCAGGCCATAGGTGGAGCTCACCAGGGGGAGGCTGCTCACCCTCTCCACCACGTTCTGTGAGGATAAAACCCACAGAGAAGGCTTACTGACGGCTCATAATGCAACGCAACAATAGTTTCACTTTGTGTTGTTAAAACAGTTTCTGAGACAAAACACAACTTAAACAAACACTGTCTTGATTCAAAACAGTCTTTAAGCAGCAGAACAGTAATAACAAAGAAACAGGACTACTCTCAACACATTTATTTCTGTGTGGTGTACTTCAACTTTGAAATAGAAAGGGTTGACATGTTCTTCTAAATCCTTAACGTGTAAAAGGCATACTTACTTTCTAGTGTCCTTTCTTGGTATTAAAACACATCTTATTCCAACTCTACCCAGGAAACTCACCTGATTTGAGATAACTGCTGCTGCCATGTCTGCTGAATCAAAACCTACAAAGATAAAACGAAACATGTAGCATCTCAATTTAAAGGAACACATGTTGACATATTCTTAAGAGAGCCATAGGAACTTGACAGAAACTACAGGGGTCTATTACTTTCGTTTTATCCATAGCAGTGGGTCTGTAATAATAGTTATGTAGCCTAATAATACAGTCTCAACAATGTGTGGAACAAAGACGACTAAACTACAGTTGTCAAGTCGTACAATTAGTAGGCTGACTTGAAAATATAGGAAGAGACTCACCCAAGTTTCAGAGGTCTATCCGGAGTGTCAATGAGCTGACTGATGCGGCGTGGGAAGCGCAGCAGCTGTATTTATATTCTGGAATTCTCGCGAGATGTGGTGCTTCCCCATGACGTCAGCGACTGTAACGTTTCTGGGGCAAAGGTGAAAGGGGTAAAAGTTTAGTCGGATGGGGGAATTCCTATGAAAGCAGCCATCACGTGGACAAGGTATTACACACAACAGCGTGTGATTTCTTCAGCTGTCATAACCCGACGAGACTTTAGCTGGAAAGAGGAATATTCAGTTTTTTTGTTTTTTTTTGACAAAAGACAAAAAAGCTAATACACAACACCGCACCTGAAGAGCCTCACTTCACCTGCTTTCTTCGCACATTATCTTTATTCACCTCTTAAAGTATTCTGAAGTCTTTACTTAGGTGCACACGACCCTATATGAACTTTACCTTTGTTTTCTTCTTTACTGTCTCTGTGCGAAAGTGATTAGTCTTATTTGGGGATCCTTTTTTCAGGAACTGGCCCCCCATAGACCGTGGTTAGTTTAAGTAAATGTATACTGAAAGTCAAATAACTGAGACAATACAAACATTAAAACTACATTTTATACATCTTCATTAAGGCCCATTTAGATTTGCACTTACATTGACCATGAAGAATACATGCAACAAAGTCAGACTTGGTCTTTTGTTATTTTTTTTAAAACACACATGAATAGTATCAGAAATTGAAAATCTTATTGTCACCTCTACATTTTTTTTTTAGTTTTACTCTTTAAGAGCTAAATATGACCCTTTACTTATTAATCTATGGAGGGTTAAAGTGGTGAAAGTAAGATAATTAAAATAGTCTGAAGTCAAATATTCACCATTTAAATATTTGCTACGAATGAGGTCAGCTGAGCTATACTTTCTCATACTATTTTTCAGAAACATAAGTCGGGTTTTTTCCCCCTAGTTAATGCAAGAAATTCAACCTAACACTTGCTTAATACATTTCTAAGACTTTTTTTAATGGCCTGAATCGTACCATATGCCAGAGGTTTACCCACACATCAGCATGTCTGTGTTTGCCAGTAGCTCATCACAGCCACATGTGTGACTCTGTTTCTCATTTGAGGGCAGCGTAATATTATTTCTACGTGTCAGGGCTTATTTCTGTCAAGATTTTTTTTTTGCACGTGTTATTAAAAATGTAAATTATGTGCTAATGTGGTTTCCTAGATACGACACATTTGGTAGCCAGATGAGGAAACATGGGCTTAGTTCAGATACTCCACTTGGCGCACACATTTGTGGTCCTGGATTGTGTGGATGTGTCCCTTGAGGCCCATTTATCAGCTCTTGTATAACTAATAAATAGACCCCATATGAAAATGTTGGCTGAAGTAAACCACAGACTCTAATTTTTCATAAGGTTCTGACTGGAGGAAGTCCACACAATAAGATTTTAGCATGGTCTGATTAATCCAATGTCATACACAATCTGCAGTCCATCCTCTACTCTACACAATGAACACGTTGCACTGGAGTCTGGACATTGATCTGCTTTTATTTTATTGTCCATGTCACATCCTTTTAATTGATTCATCAGCTTTTCTATGATAAAAAGCAACGTCAAAGCTGATAAAGCATTATGACTCACCAGCATTATTTGGGTTAGGGTGACATTACTGGTGGTTAAAGGGTGCAATATTTGGCTTACATTTTATCTGTGATATTAAACCTTTACAATTAATTTAGGTTTAGAGGATTACAGATGGGTCAGCGTCTTTTAAATGTGGGAATAGGAACATTGAGTTTCAAACTCCAGTTAGAGCGTAAACACAATGTTGTCTATGTGATCCTAAGTGTCAATGACCTATTTAATTCACTCAGTTCTTTACACCTTCTAATTCGAGGTTACACAATTTATTTGAACGTTAATTTACATTTAATGAAAAGGTTGTGCCATTAGATTTTACCTTCATAAGCCCATCAATTACTCTACTAATGAAACACCCACTAAAGCTAAGTGAAATAGTACAGGATGTCCGACTGCTAAGCAGTACTCTGATTAAGCACATTGTGAAAATGGAAACCAAAAGTTACACTTTTCCATGGTTGTTTTGGTTCAGTGTCCTTACTTGACTTGTTTTTCATCTCTGAGAAGAAAAAGTTGCCGTCTTCCAGTCAAGCTAAAAGTTCAAACCACCCGACGTTATTCTGCAATCTGTGTCTGACAATCTCAGAAAAGGTCATCTAAGAGAAAGGCAAACACTGGAAGGCATTTTTTACAGTTTTTTTTAAAAGTAGAACTGTGACCTGATGGTCATACCAGAAATGTTTTATTGATTTTTCAGAGATATAAGATGTAAAATCAGATTACAAAAATATAAAAGGTGTGTCTGGTGAAGTCAAGAAGTCAGCAGGTTTATACAAGGGACCTCACCTCTACAAATACAAAGCAGTAAGAGTAACTTCACATTTTCAAAACTAAATTATATATATATGTATATTTGAATACATACATGTATACAAATAATGCATAAAAATAAAAGGAGTGACAATAAACCCACAAATATAAAAGTTAATCAATGAAATAGACAACAATCTTTCAAAAACATGAAAAAATCTGTTCTATTTGAAATGCTGATATTTCATGAGCACGTTTTTTTTTTTGTATTTCTTAATTCAGGCCACTAGATGTCACCAAAGTTGACGTTCTTACCCACCAGGAGCACGCAGCATCCCAACCTGTGTCTTCCTTTTGTTCCCTCTCTTTCAAATTGATATCAAGGAATGTTTTTTTTTTTTGTTGCAAGAATGTTTGTACAATAAAGAGTGTTTTACAATAAGTGAAGCAATAAAAGTGATATGCTTCCAAGGTGCATCTATACAGGATATAAAGTTAAAATAATTAGAACAGAGTTAGATTATATATCATGCCCTTTTAAATATGTGTTTCATTGGTTCTCTTATTTACCACAATTTCAACATTATCACAATGAAGTATTGTAAGCTTTCACAATAAACAGATCGCAACAGTCTGTATTTTTTGCAAATGTTTTATGTAAACAAGCAGTGCTTTGGTTCCCAGCATGTGTACATTTTACAATGACCATACATTCACACCCCTGTGAAGCTATACGGATACCCTCAGATTAACCCGTCCTTTGAGTGGTGAAAAAACAAATAAACACAACCATGACTTTTGTTTTGGATTCAGGAGAGACATGTTGTAAACACTGGTATTGTGTGTTAAACATAAAGAACAGCAGATAAACTGTGAGCTCATATGCACGCTTTGATTTTTGTATAATTATCACACCTCGAATTGTGTTATTGAACAACCTTATTAGCATATTTCCCTCATCTTGCAGGCCTAGTATTTGATAGATCTGTGTACAGTAACAGACAGAGGCGGTAATGATCTGAGCAAATTGTTGACTCCTTTTGTCATTCTACAGAAAGTCAAGATGAAAAGAAAGACCCTGTCCCTTTCTCTCCCAGAGGGGTGCTCCTGTTGTGCAGATGGCATCAGGAGGTTACAAAGTCTGGCAGGACCCGAGAGCAGATCCTTACAGGACATCCCTCCATTGTACCCTCTGGGAAAGGTAGGTTTGTGGGCAGTGTGCCAAGGCTCCTGGCTGGGTAACAGATACCTGTTGGCTACTGGGAAAGTGTCACACCTCCAGGTCACACACAGTCAGAGGCGCTGTGTGAAGAAAGAGCGCCGGCGGAATGAGAAAGACAGTGGGAGAGTGGCTGTCGTTTGATTCTCTTTGGATCATTTGGATCAGGCAGAGATGTGGCTTTAGAGCACAGGAGAAAAGAAAGTGACACGTCTTTGGTGCAGAGGTATGCTTTGGTTAACTCAAGCCTCAAACGATGCTGCTGCTGTGAGACAGTGCAGTCTGAGAGAGAACTCTGCCCGACTGTCCATCAAACCTGTGTCAGGGTACTTTAGATTTTGTTAATACAAGGGGATTAAGAATCTTCCAGTCAAACAGATACATTAAATAACCAAAAATATATGTTTAAAACATGAAATAATAGATGATAGAATCAACATTTTCATATTTTTTTAGGATTTTTGGATTCGGTACCTTTCAGCCTCAAGTGGCCACTGGAGGAACTGCACCTTCTTACACTTGCATGGCTTAATATGTCATTTCAGAGGTTTTTTCGTGGTCAGAAAACCTAAACAGTGTGCTCAGAGATGCCTTTTATATGTGTAAAGTTGAAGGGAAATTCAGAGTCTGGGGATTATTATTCCAGTGAGTCCATCACTGCTGTGGGTCATTTTCTATACAAGTAGAAGTGTTCATATAAGACCCTTTTTTATTCTAAACGCAGCTCTCGGATAAGCCAAAATGTGCCTACTACAAAACAAATAGTACATAACAGAGATGCAATTTAAGATGTAGCTTGAATGTAAATTGTTTTCTACCTTAGTTAAAACTTTGCTGTGTTTTGCAAAAAATGTAATTCTATGTTCAAAAACAGTAAGTATTGCAGCGGTTGACTGTCAGTTTCCCCCCTGTATGTATGCGTCTGCTTAAAGAGTCTCTTTTTGGTTCTGTTTGGAGTTAAACCCTATTATAAAATCTGCCTAAAAGCAAACTATGCACTTGACAAACACGATACATTTTAGTGCAGTGACGGTAGATGTTGTTGGACCAACGTGAAAAAGAAAATGAAACCCGAGTAGTTCTGCCACCTCAAAGAAATGTCTGGCTGTCTTTTTGATCAAGTAGGAGGTGGACTGAATATTGGCTGTGTTCATGTTGTCACACTGAATCTACACCAGAGTTTCAACATCTGGGACCAAAATAGCTTCAGAAAGTTTTGTTGCCCTGTTGCTAAATTTGGCACTGTTATTCTTCCCAGCTTCAATTCCATCTCCAAAGCTGGAGAAGTCGTGCATGCAGAAATTAGTTACATTTTAACAAGATGCCGCCCCTCTAGAAATAACCATTACTTCAGCCTTTAATAAATAGCAGATCTACACAGACAATGTGTGTTTAGTGGGGCTGTAACTGCAGATTTATAGCTGCAATATAGACAAAGAGACAAGACCAGGGTTTGTT